TTTCTTTAACTATTATTTGAGGTTCTTGGGCTTGTTGTAGTTGAGTTTGGAGTTGCTGAATAGTGGCTTTTTGTTGGCTAAAATAAGATTAAAAGCGGAAAATTAATTTTGCACTTTGTAATATATAATACAGCAACAATTATGAAATATGAATATGGCAAAAGAAAAAAAGAAGTTCCAAAGATATTCATAGCTGGGGGCGGTATTTTGATTTAACCCAAAGGAAAAGTAAAAGTCAAGGAATCAAACTTGGCTCTTATATTAAGCAATGAAATGCATAATCGGTATGATGATTATTTTATGGTAGAACTGACAGTAGTTAGAGAAGAAAAAGAAGAAATTAAAAAATTTCTAGAAGTTTCTTGTGAAGTAGAAGGACAAAAGTTAAAAGTACTAGTTAGCCATATCTATGCGGCTAACAAAATATCTTTTGCTAATCGTCGCGAACATAGAAGATTATGTTTAGGAAAAGTAGACGAACTAGTTAATGAAAAAAGTAGCCGAGAAAATCGAATTAATTTTAGGTTTAGACAGTTATTAGTAATTAAAAATAACTATTATGGTATGTTCCTATTGTGATGGAGACTGTCCTCATTTTTGTCCTGAACGAAGAGAAAACCAAGTTAAATTCTAGTTATGATATTAACTTTTGGTTATAGGTGATTAAAGAAATAGCAAAAATTAATAAATATATGTCTAAATATCTTGGTCCTCTCTGAAAAAAATCTCGGGCTCTGGGTTTTTCTCTGCTCGAAAACAAAAAAGAGTTTAGTCGGGGCAAAAAACGAACTACCCCTCCTGGTATCCACGTTGCGAAAAGAAAAAGAAAATCCACTTACGCTTTCCAAAACCGGGAAAAACAAAAAATCCGTTTTCTCTATGGTCTGAAAGAGAGACAATTATACAATTTATTTGCTAAATTAAAAAATGCTCCCGGCAATATTGGTGATAACTTGTTAATAAGGGGGGAATCGCGACTGGATAATTTAGTATTTCGTTCAGGTTTAGTTTCTACTCGTCGTTGGTCTCGCCAGTTAGTCAGCCAAGGACATTTTTTAGTCAATGGTAAAAAAGTAAAAGCTCCGAACTGCCAAGTAGAACCAAACCAAATTATTAGTTTCCGCAAAGAAAAAATGGCGGAAAATAAACTTATTAAGGCTAGTTTAGAACAAAATATCAAAACTCCGGCTTATCTGGCTTTGGATAAACAGAAATTAACCATTACTTATTTACGTTATCCGGCGGCTGAGGAATTAAACAAAAGTATTGACACTTCCTTAGTAGTAGAGTGATACAATAAAAAAATATAGTCATGCTTTATTCTTATCAAGATTGCTGAAATTATGCGGGGGCAACTTCCAGCAAAAGTAATGGTGAACAAACCAAGCGAGATTTAATTAGTATTTGCCAAGTCCATCCTGTCCAGTTTTGGCTAGATTTTACCCAAAAAACTCTCCCTGAACACAATTACCGACAAATCTGTCAAA